GCTCAGGCTGGTTTTGAACTCCTGAGCTCAAACAATCTGCCCGCCTCGGCCTCCCAGAGTGCTAGGATTACAGGCGTGAGCCACTGCACCCGGCCTATTAGGCATGATTCTTGCCCTCATGGAGCTCACAATCTAATAGGAGAGACAGACATAAAAATATATGTATGGAAATAAATATATATTTACAATGGGATAAGTGGAAGAAAGATAAAGGAATAAGATGCTACAGATAAGAGTAATTAGTATTCATTATCTTCACTAGATAAAGAGTAATGTTTTTCTGGTTGACTTTCTTGGCCTTTAAAGGTAATATTGGATTATTTATAACTCTGGTTATAATATAACATAATATAATACTTGTTATTAACACATCCTCATGCCCTCCTATTCGTTTATGGTATTTATCCCTCTTCAGTCCATTTCTTCCATTTTAGAAAAAGTGCTTTTTCCGTGGGTACTCTCTGTATACCTCTAGCATAGCACTTATATTGTATCACATTTGTTTGTTTAGAGCTCTTTCTCACCAAACAGAATATGATTTTTTAAAAAGCAAGGACCTTTTAAATATCCTTGACACCCAGAAGATACCTAATAAGTGTATTGGTTGGTGGTATGAATAAATTAATGAGTGAATGAATAGACAAATAGAAGCATGAACAACTGAGCTAGTAGCGATGAGGTTGAGGTCTTCACCTCAACCAACAGTTGATGGTTCAAGCCTTACTTGGTAGGAGTCCTATAACCAGGCTCTCTCTGTCTCTTCTTTTCTCCATTCTCCTTCTGCCTGCCTTTGCTCATTGACTCATACATATACTAAATTTTGGTAAAATGAAAAGTACCTCATCTCAGAAGAGTTGGAAACCCCTTCTTCTGGGATTAATCATTTTATTGTTTTGAAAATCCAAATGCTATTTTCCCACACGTTCTCCTCTTCACTCATCAAATAGCTTTGAAATAATTCCAGTTTTTCAGCAAGTTGTAGCATGGTGTATATCACTTGGTGCAATTCTGCAGAGGGGGAAGCCATTTATTTTGAAGAGGTAGTACACTCATGTATTTCCTTGCAACCGGATAACTTGATAAGAAAAGTTCCCAACACAACACGAGATAGCTTTGTACTATTCTCCATTTTCATTGACATTTTTAGTAATGTGAAGTCCAGTGATTCATGATAAATTTAGAGTTTCGAGCAAAATGATCAAAAATTTCTCTGGTGATTGTGGCCATTTCCTGTCTCTGACAATCTCTGCAGCCCTCATGGGGTATTCTTTGATACTTTTTTTGTCTCTGGGAGACAAAATTGGTAAAGAACCAAAGAAAACCTCTGCCATTATTAACCACTCCTACTGAGTTTCCACTTCTTCCTACCCTCCCCGTTTAGTAAAACAGCAAGGATTTCCAAGTGTGTTGGTGCCATAACAGTATACAAAATGACAAGGCTCATGCTACTATTGTTGATTCTTCTTTCCCTTGAATTAGTTTGCATTTATCACACACTATCAGTATGACATGCTATTAAAAAGCTAATAGCTAATGAATTTGATCCGTAACAAAACCACTCAAAAATTAATCTCCAATTGCATCATAATCCTGTGCTATGAAGTAGTGAGTGTGTTAAAAAGAGGTGAAGAAATAAACGTATCAACCCACATTTTCATACCACTTACAGACAGATGTTGCAGTTGTCCTTCCTCGCCATAGAGTGACACTGTTTCACTGCAAACAGCCCAGCGAACAACCAGTCTTTAAAAAAACAAAACAACTAAATACGTTCCTAAAAATTAAAATGTCTACAGTATAAATCCATTGTTGCAGTTTATCATGCTGATATAAAAATGAACCACACTCCAGCAGAAACACTTTGAACTGAGAAACTAAATATTTGAAGTATGTTCTAAATAAGTCCAGGGGACTGATTATCTTGTTTGAACAAACCAGCTGCTGAACTCAAGTTGTTTGCTCTGCTAGAACAAGCCATATGGATCTTGAGTCCTGCCTTGTGTTCAATTAGATTTCAACTTTAACTTAAACATATGCTAAAAATGGCTTGATTCCTAGATTTAAATTTTTAAGTACATATGTCCTCTTAAAGGAAAACACCCAAGCTGTAGTTGGGCATTAATATACGATTGGAATAATGGAAACCTAATGAAAATTATCTGTAGCGTGACAACAGTTGTTAAGAGTGTGGACTGAATATTTTGGCTGGTGGCAACTAAGACATTTGATAAGAAAAAAGGACCTTGAGATGACTTATCAGGAAAGAAATGCCATGCACCGTAGAGCTATGAAAATCATAGATGTGTTCTTTCCCCTTTTCACAACTACATTGTTCCCCTGCTGCCCTGCCCCCACAGCACTTACCACACCGCGTAATTGCCTGTGTGTTCTGCCAAGGCAGGGTTCCCCATTGTCTTGTCAGCACCTGTCACGAGGTGCCTTTGGGGGACTGATGCCCTGTGCATTAGGAAACCGTATCTTACACTCTTAGTAGGCACTCATATATTTGCTGAATTTTTTTTAAAATTTAAATCTGATTTCAGAATCTTTTTTGATAAGTGCTTTCAAGGTTTTTCAACCACTACGTATAGTCACAGAGTTCTCTCTTGTCCATTAGCTTTAAAGTGAGGGTGACCAGCTGTCCTGTTTCATCCGGGCCTGAGCAGGTATCTCAGGAGGTGGAACTTTCAGTGGTAAACCAGGGAAGTCCCAGGCAAACAGGGATGTGTTGGTCACCCTGTTAAAAGTAGAAACCTGTATAAAGGCTCCTGGGATGCAGATTAGTGTTTTTAGGCTTTAGAACAAAATACAGCCTGAGAGTGGGAATCCAGTCTCAAAGAGTCGCTGGCTAAAGGAGGAGGAGGCCACAGTTATGGCTGGGCTAGAGATTAGATTCGCTGACGGAGGGAGAGCATCCCAGCTCGAGTGTGCGGCACGATGCAGCCTTAAATGCTGGTTGTTAAGCAGGAGGACGACCAGAGAGGTGAATAAAAATTCCTCATTACCCAGAAATGTGCTTTGTTAGCCTAATTGCCTCTCATCTGCACTGTATATATTTTATGCATGAGCAACTTTCTGATTTAGAGATGGGACTGATAAAAAGCTCTCAGTAAAAAGGAAAAATTACCCTTAAAACCCTACTCAGATGTAGCTGCATTCAATTTAGAAAGATAACATTGGGTCAGATAAGGGTCGGCCAGTTCAACAATGGGGAGAGGCTGGGACCGTGACAACCGGGATCTGGATGTGTTGATGTGACAATGGAGAATTGGCAGAAGCTGGGACATTCCACCCCAGCCAAGTCCCCCAAGCCATCAATCTTGGTGACTAAAGCTGGAGATCAAAACACATGGAAGTAGCGAGTGGTCCCTCAAAAAATTTATTATCATTTCACATAGATTGCAATAAATATCCAGATTTGGCAGATGAAGAAGGTCTGTGTGTTCTTTTGGTGCAAACTTGAAACGTTGGCTCATAAAGTAGGAAAGAGGATTGGAAAGTAAACTAAGCCAGAACTGTTAAAAGTGGTTAGGAAATAAAAGATTTAGGGAAAATAAAGATGCATTCCCATTTTTTTGGTACAAGAGAATACGGCTCATTTGAACCAATCTGAAGTTTAGATCTTAAAAAGAGCACAACAACTGCCTGTTGCAAGTGTGCTGATGGTAAACAGAATGGAATCAACTCACGGTAACATCTTCTAATAAGAAGTCCACAGAGGACTTGCTTTAATGAACGGATAATAATTAGCACTTGAATTATTTGTATGTAAATGGATACCTCTAATTCCTCTAAATCATATGTGTCCTATAAATCTACCAAAGAAAGATGTGGCATACAAGTGGAAATTGCAGTCTACTCCTTTTCATAGTTTCCCCTCATCCCCCTTGCTTCACATTTTCTCATTTACTCATTCAACAAACATTTATTCAACACCTGCTATGCTAAGTGTGGGGATAGAAAGACTAATAGGACCTAGTCTTGAATTCAAATTTACTCTCGCATGGAGGAGACAGTCACCCAAAGACATGGTTGTCTTGTCGTACAGTGTGGGACAGGCATAAATGATCAGGGGAGCCCTATGCAGGTGTCACGGGGGTAGGTGAGAGGCACTTTCCGTGTGTTTAGTCATATTGCTATCCCAAATTTGAGAGATATGACTCTGAACTGAGTGACTGGCTGGCTATGCACTACGAGGCTCTCAGTCTTGGATGAGAAAGAACAGCTACTGGTGGAAGATCCACCAGTGAGACGGGAAGGTTACCAGGCTGGACCAGGGCTAAGGACAGCTTCATCCCCACATCAGTCACCGGGCAAGACCTATGGACAGGCACCTAGCTCAGTGACAGAGACCAGAGTTTCAGTGATCATCACGAAATAAACTTAGTTTCTGTAAAAAGGCATCAGAATGGTTCTGAGGAAAGTTGTAAAGACAGAGCTGCAGCCACGGTTGCCCTGCAGGCTTGCGGTGCTTGCACAAGATTAGGTAGGGCAGGCGCTCAGCTCACCACGGGCACCATGGGTCCTATTGTCTCACTGCATTTCTATGACTAGGTCCTGAAGAAATTAGAGCCTGCAGAGCCTGGGCTGCAAAGACCCCAAGCCTGGCAGGTCGGAGGCTTGGATTCGCTCCCATGCAATCTCTTTCCTGATCGAGGATGATTTTATTGCCATTAAATCAAAGGTCACTGTGCCACGATTCAGTAATTCTAGACCGTATCTGGTCACGATATTGTCATAAACCAACAGCAGTACTTTAAAAGCAAAGAAACGTATGTGTTAAGCTGTCTTGGCAGAAAACCTCCATCAGATGAATGTGTTAAATAATCGGGGGCCTGGATTCCGCCCCCCACCAAAAATGCCATCCGGATGGCGGGATCTGCCTGCCTTCATCAGCGCACCCTCTGCCCATAGTGCCTGCGGTTTGTGGCCAGAGTGAGCACCAGCGGCTGGGCTTCCCTTTGGGTCACAGGCCTGTGGTGTATTTCAGGTCCCTCTGGGTTGCCCGGCCTGGACGGCTTGCACGGTTTGAAGGGTCAGAAAGGAACCAAAGGTGCTTCAGGTAAGACAAAACCATTTGAGAGAGACTGAGCTTCACTCAGTGGACCCTCCCCTGGTGTTTCCTCTCTTCATGAGATTTAGGTTGAAACTAAAAATCTGGCTTAGGTTAGAGACACGGAGTTGGAACTGTTTTTAGTGCTGACAATGACATATAAAAAGGACATTTGAGAAAACCCTATTTAAGAAGGAATAGTTGGTTAAAAGTGCCTTTTGTTGGCATTACTTGGGATTCTCTCTCTGCTAAAAATACTCTGAATAATTGCATTAATGGAGTTAGATTTCAAAATGTTATAACAGTCAGGGTGTTTCAGTTTTTGTATTGTTTTCAGTGTAGTAATGTCAGGTACAACCACATGAATCTAATTAGTACTTTTAGCGCCCTTTTACAGCCACTGCTAAAACAAATTACCTGAACAATTTGCTGTTATTTTTGACATTGTAAATAGGTTAATCTTCAATAACTGCATTTTAGCTCCTTCCATTAATATAATGCTCACTTGTGATGTTACTTTCTCAGAAAAATTGCTTATAATCAAAGTAGCTGGAACCCAACATGCAGATTTGAGTGACCATGGGGAACAGGTTAATTGTGCTACTAGGTTTGAATCTATTGTTGGAGAGAGGCAAAATCTTTATAGTTTGGAAAAATTACTTCATAGTTATTTCAGTCACTTAGGATTCATTCAGTGGCTCTCCCGAATAGTCCAGTTAAATGTTGCCCCTTCCAAGAAACCATTGATGTTCTCCCTTTTCAGTGTGAAATTCACAATAGTTCTAATTATGCCAGTTTCCACCTCAAATTTCAAAGCAGTTTATTCATAATTATTTATTGTCGTATGTCATTTGTTTTTGCTTTATCCATTGTAGAACTTGGAGGGTTGGGATTTGTCTCTAAGCTGTTGGTTTTTTTTTTTTAATCTGGAAAATAATCATAAAAGAAACCAAACCTATGGTTAAGCAGTGTGATAGTTGTAAGAGAGAAGTGGTGACCCAGGAATAGCATGCAGCTGTTTGGATCACCACTGCAGCCCGTGGTCGGTCTCTGCAGAACTAGCCACTTCTCTGCCACTATTGGGGAGCGGTTCCTTTCTAGACACCATAACAGGGACAAGCAAGGACGAGATACAGGATTAATGCTCTTTTCCCTATTAAGGTTTGCATGATATGGGCCCACCTGGTCCAGTGGGAATACCTGGGCTAAAAGGAGAGACAGGAGACCCTGGGAGCCCAGGAATCTCTCCTCCAGGCCCCTTTGGAGAGAAAGGTCTCCCAGGCCCGCCAGGTAAGAAGCAGCATGCTTTGCCCCTCTTTCAATAACTAAATCAAAACCTTCCAAATGTAATGAAGCTGGCATCTGAACATGTTTATTTGCAGGGAGACCAGGACCACCTGGCCCTGCAGGTGCCACAGGAAGAGCCCCTAAGGATGTCTTTCCTGAGTCGGGTCCACCTGGAGACCGGGGACCTCCTGGCCCTGATGGCCCAAGAGGTATATGAGAAAATCACGGCCAGTGATAGCCGTGCTCCTTTTGCTAGATGCTGCCAGCTCCATGGGGACATAGGATCAGAGAGTGGCAGAGTAGAAGCACCTAAGCAACCCCATCAATTTGGCAGATGGATAAGTGAGGAGGACCCAAGTTCTGGTCCTGATATGGTCCTGAGAGCCCACCACAACCTGCACTCCAACCTCAACTGGGCCTCACATCCATCTTATAAAGCAGTGAGATGGGAACGCAAACAAAAACCATGAAATGATACTTTCAAAAGGAATGGCTCCGAAGGGAGAGAAGGTTTTGCGTAGGTTCATTTTGTCTAACGGTTCTAACTTATTATCTACACTATTTCTCAACTTGGGCTTCGTGCAACCCCACTCTATTTCACTTCTGATACTATTGACTTTCTTATTCTAATTCCCCCCATCCCTTGCTTACGAATCATTAAATTGCTTTTCTTAAGAAGCTCTCAAGAAGCCAGTATACACATTTATCTTTGACTAAAAGAATATTTTTGCCTCATCTTTGTGGTCAGGAGAACATGGGCCCCCAGGCCCTCCTGGGAGCACTGACATTCTGAAAGGGGAGCCAGGTGACTACGGTCTGCCGGGGCTACCAGGTCCCCCTGGCCCGCCAGGCCCTCCAGGGCGCAAAGGCTTTCCAGGACGTGTTGGAAAAGACGGCCAGAAAGGTATGGATGCAAGTTGTTCCTCCAACAGCATGTAAAGACTTCCGTTCTCTTACCCCTGAGGATCTGGGGTGCTGCACCACCATGATGGAATTCCTGTTTTCTGTGCAAACAGTGACTAGATTTCCAAAATGTCCTGACTTGCCCAAAGAGTCCTGAAGTTTGCGTAAAAGTTGGACAAGTAAAAGGAAGAAACACAAGTTCATCTTTGGTTCTGAGTAATACTCTTGATAATCTTCCAGACCAGAACAGGACAATAGAAACATCATGCAACCTGCGTGTGCAATTTAAAAATGTAGTAGTCACATTTTAAAATGTAAAAAGAAACAAGTGAAGTTCACTTTCATACTTTATTTCATTTAACATAATATTTTCCAATGTTATTATTTTAACATAATCAATATAAAATTGTCAATGAGATAATTGAGCTGATTGTGCAAACCTGGTTCCCCTCCCAAATAAGCCACTCCTCCTTCTGGCCTTGGAAATCCAGCATATGTTCTACACTTGCAGCATGATTCAGTTTGAACTGGCCACATTTCAAGTGCTAAATACCCACGTGGTTAGTAGTTCTATAATAGACAGCTCAGTTTTAGATTGCTGACTTTGCTTTTTGATATTCATGCAAGGGTTGCCCACTATTTAAGGCTAAAAGACTCATTTAAATTAATTTTTATCCAACTGCTGATTGGGGATGTCAGTTTTTGATTACCAGAATTTCGGAGAATTATTATTAATAGATTCAAAAAAATTTTTTGTTGAACAAAGTCCAATAATGATTGTCCATTTTAACTCCCTTATTTCATAAATAAGGAAGTTGGATATCAGAGAAACAACTTCTGACATTTGCACAAGGAGCCAAATAACTAGCACCCTGCCTGGCTCCTGAACCAAATGTGAAATAAGGCCAAAGATTAGGGCATGGGGGAGATCGAAATCACTATTTGGCTGCCATGACTACAGTGCAAATGACATCTCTGGAATTGTACAGTATGCAACCTGTACAACAGTATGGAGCAACCCTCCTCACCTTTATTAGCAATAAAATCAATTTTAGAGAATATATCTTATATCTGTAGGTACATGGGCTTCCAATTATTGAACCTCAAAAAAGGACAGACATGCTAGCACTCTAGCACTCTAGTCACCAAGAGGAAGGAGGAAGGGTCTGGCTAATACACTTCCTCCCTAGTTGTTACTCTAGAGAGTAAATCTCCACCTGGACACATAAACTTCAGGACTGGAGAAATAACACGCCATATAAATAACAGGGACCTACCCATGGATATACAGGGAGTTAGAAATATTGGTTGAACCACTAATCATGCTTCTTAACTCCCATTCCAGAGAATATAAGGGCCAAATAGTGCTTTACTGGAAAGAGGGTAAGGGGGTTTCTTTGGGTTACCTTTTATAACTTACTCACATAAGTAAGGGAAATATTTTGTCGATTTCACAAACATTTACTAGGCACCTACAGGAATGTAGTGGTGAACAAATTTAAAGGGTCCCTGCTCTTACTGAGCCTAGCATTTCATGGAGGAGGACAGACCTTCACACTCAGAGATACATCCACATAAACCAAGCTAAGTGCTCGGAATGAAGAGCTTATCAAAAAGCAACCAGACTTTGGGTGGGATTCCAGGAAGGGCTTCCCTGCAGAGTGAGACTTGGTCTGAATGCTAAAAAATGAGGAGGACTTAATGGATGGAAAGAAGAGAAGGAACAGCTTGTCCAAGGAACTGAATCATTGGTGTGCCTGAAACTAGGAGAGTGAGGAAGAGCGTGGGATGAATTTAGGCCGGGGAGGCACGTTGTTCTCAGACATTGAAGATTATTTCCTTATTTTCCCTTTGGTTGCAGTCCTTTGACTGTCTCAGAGACAGTTCAGGATTACAGGGCTTTTCATTCCAATTTAGTTTTGCTGTGATCATGGAACCATTTTCCTTAGTCCTTTGGACTGTGTCATTGTGTTTTCTTTAGGCAGAGGCAGCCCTTCTCAGCCTTGCAGAAGAAACTGAGGCTAATCTTGATCCTAAGGCCAGCTTTGTCCTGCATTTTGTCGGAGTGAATCTCTGAATTCAATCAAACTATCATTGTCTCTATAGTGCTTCATTCCAATGGCCTCATTTTATGTTTCTTTCAGGACCCATGGGATGCCCGGGGCCGCAGGGGCCACATGGACTTCCTGGGCCACCTGGAGAGAAGGGTCTACCTGGACTTCCAGGCAGAAAAGGGCCCACTGGTCCTCCAGGTAAGCTGCTAATGCATTTTCATCTCCGCTAAGCAACCTACACACAGAATTTTGTTTAAACATTTACTATGATGATCATCTTTTAGAAAGTAGTCAATATTCTGAAATTACTAGCACATTCTTATAACTTAAGCCCTTTCTGATATAAAGAGTATGTTTCTTTCAGGCTGCACTACCAAGTCTTATTTTTGGTAAACTAATATTAGTATCAGAATGAGTCAGTTTGAAAATTAGCAGTGGATTTTACATTCCTATATCTGAATTTCCATTGATTTTCCTAGGTGTTCTATTTAACTTTATCTGTAAAGTACATTAGTTCTTACGAAGGTAAAAGGCTATTCAATTTAACTCTATGGACAACACTTTTTAATCACACAGTCAAAATAAACCAAGGAAGTGTTGGGGGGAGGAAGGGCAAACAGACATGTGCATTTGAGATTGGCAACATCCTGAATCAATTGTTATGGTAATGTGGTGTCAGTTCAGAATATTTTGCAATTTTGTGAATTAGCACTCTAGTCCAAAGAATAAATAAGTAGCACTGGTTTATTATGTATCATAGAACAACAGGAAAAAGGGTTATATTTTGATTCTTTTTATATTTCCTTTTTGTGCATAACCTATAAAACCTGGCAAATTAGTATGGAATTTCCAGAAGCCTTTTACTGGATAGAATTCCTACATACATTAAATTAGGGCATATTTGCCATAAAAAATTGACTAGAATTTCATATTGCTCAAAAGAGTTTCATTCCAAGTCTTTCTAGAGATGAAAACTTTGTGACTAGATCATAGCTGTTCCTGTCAGTCACAGTGTTGTGGATTTTTCATGTAAATAAGATGCTGTCATTCTGCTTGTCATTGATGCTGTCCCAAATTATTATTTATGTTCTCAAACAATCTATTTCATTTTTGTTCTAATTCACGAATCGAAAATCTCTTTCCACTCTGTGAAAATTATCGTGCGGCCTCGTGTTTTTGGCTTTGGATCTCCCCAGGTTCCAGAGGTAAGCATGACTGTAAAATTGGTCATTTCCCCTAAATCTGTTTCCAGTCATTTCTGTACTTGTCTTTTCTGCTATCTATATGTGTGAGTTAAACTTCATTACATTTTTATACACAGAGTGCTGTAATTATATTAGGTTTTAATGCCTTTGCTTCCCTGTTACAGATATAGTAACCTCATATTAGAGTGTCCTGACACCCCGAGCCTTAATATAGGTTGTCAAGGCGGTGTAGATACTCAGCTTATATAATTTCAATGTGGGCATGAAGTGTGAGGGCTTTCTCTGTCAAACGCTGTAGTACATACCAATGTAAATTCCTTTTATAAATTCTATAATATAAATACATAGAACATCCCTAAAATAAGTAGTATCAACAACATTAAAAGATGAGCCCTCAACGCTCAGTAAGGGGCCGTGACAAGCCTTTCCTATCATCACACCCTTAAGTCCATTTGCAAGGAGCACATTTCTTTGTGTGCTGAAAAGAAAATGTTCATTTCATGCTCTGAAATGCAAAAGCAACATATTATTTTGTGCCTGGCATTTTCAAAGAAAATAAGAAACATTTCTCAAGAGGAAAAAAGGAAAATTGTGAATGCTTGCATTTTTCTTTCCAGGCATCTGTGATTAGCCCTAATGAAAATTTCCCTGAATATAGACTCCATATATTTTTAGGGCCCTTAAAAGAGAGGCCTTGGCCCCTCTCTTTCAGCTTCTGGTTTATTAGAAAGTAAAGAAAAGCAAAAGCAAAATATTTTTAAAATCCTGCTATTTTAAATATTTATATTTAAAAATTGAAGTTGTATATTTAATGTTTTCATTTCGATCCCGTCTCTCTGCGATTGTGTGGATAAATGCATGTGAGGATAACATCAAAATTCTAAATATGAAGTACCAGCCAATGCCCCCATTGCCCACCCCCCACCACCACTGGGAAAGGTCCAGATTATTCAGGCAAGACAGGAAATGTTCCCATGCATCTCTCTCAAGTCACCATAGTGGAAAAGCCACGTTTTGAATTAAACTGTACCTACCATAGAAATACATCTGGTCCTGTGTTGCTCGTGATTTCATACCATAGTTTACAAGGGGTTAAATTCCAAACAGCTCCTGGAGTTCAAGTCCACTTTGCACAGGCACATTAGCAAATTTTGTTGTTAGGGCCACGTTTTTCTAGGATTTTCTTGCTCCTTTTTCATTGCTGTTCTAAAATTATTTTGCACATTTGAGTATCTTTGAAGAAAATCGTAACTAATCAAATGGTCTGTTTTAAAATATGTTTTATTTCATGGAATTCCTCACCCAGATATTAGGAGTTCTTGAGGCAGTAGGATTTGAGGTTTAAGAGCCTGGGCCTGGAGCCAGAACACCCTGGATTTTCATCTGGACTTTGCCGTGTGTTAGCTGTGTCACCACAGATATGCCACTCGTTTACCGGAGCCTGAGTTTTCTTATCTGCAATATTGTCATGACCGTAGCACATACACAGTCTTGTAGGGAGGATTCAATAGTGAAGCACTTAGCGCCAGGCCTGATACATGCATGACACAGTGTTCAGTAAGTGCGAGCTGTTATCATTATTGCTCAGTGTTATTATTTATTATCCCTTGTGGGATTTTCTTTCAGTGTTATTATTTATTATCCCTTGTGGGATTTTCTTTCTTTTTTTTTTTTTTTTGTGATTGAATGAAGCTTTAGAAAAAGTGTCTTAAAAATAGTGAATGTAACCAAAAAGAAAAAAATGTCAAACCTTTAGCCAGTGATCCTGAGAGTGAGGTTCCCAGATCAACGCCGTTGGCCTCACCTGGGAAGAAGTTAGAAATGTACATGTTGGGCCCCACCTCAGTCCTCCTGCCTCAGAAACTCTGGTTTCATACAAACCAGCCAGACGATTCTGATGTGCTGAAGTCAGAACTTCAGCTTTCGAGCAGTGCTTCTCAGCCCTGGTGGATGCTAGGACCATGTGGGGAGTGTAAAAGAAATACTGATGCCTGGGTCCCATCCCCAGAAATTCCTGTTTAATAAGTCTAGATGGGGTCCCAGCATTAGTGCTTTTAAAAAGCTCCCCAGCTGGGTTTATTGTGCAGCCAACATTGAGGGCACTGCGCAGGCATATTGTCATCAACTAAACCAGTATTTCTGGAGGTGGGACCCAGGCATGAGTATATTTTCACAACTCCCCTGGATAAGTCCAACGTTCATGCCAGGTTGAAAGTCACTGCTTTAGCACTTCTAGGGATCCTGAAATTCATTTGAGTAATTGACACCAGGGAAACCTGCCTGGCTGCGATGTAATGAGGCAGGGACACAGTAAGCTGAGCTTTAGGAACCCACAAGGCCCTCTTGCAATGCCACCTGTGGCTGGCACCCCAGGAAAAAATGGCCCAAAGATTGGAAAACCTGTGAAGGTCATCAAATTATTGCTGCCTCATCCAGCCTTCACTATTTCATGCCTCCTCTGATATTCCACTCACTCATTTGGTCAGTAAGTCATTCATTTGTTCAACAAATGCTTTCTGGAAGTTTTTCACGTACCCTGCAGTGAACAAGACAAGTTCTCACCTTCGTGGAACTTACACTGGATTGCTGAATCTCTTGTTAGCATTTCAGTGTAGTGTCCGAAGCCCATCTTTAGCCAGAGAATGCAGAAGGAGCTTACTCACAGGCATGTGAATCCATCACACAAATGGGGATTCCAATTCCAGGTGAACCTGGGCCACCTGCAGATGTGGACGCCTGCCCCCGAATCCCAGGGCTTCCTGGGGTGCCAGGCCCAAGAGGACCAGAAGGAGGCATGGGGCTCCCCGGAATGAGAGGCCCCCCCGGATCAGGTACGAGCCTTACTCTGTTCATTTTTCATCGTATATTACTGAAATGAAATTCTAGATGCTTTATGCTGTTGCTTCTTGTATGGAGCCTAAACAATCAGTGAGGAAGAAGCAATGAAAATGCCCTTCCCCTTAATACATCGTTTTTGCCTTCGATCCAAAGTACATTAATCATGTACTAACTGGACCAACACATCTAAATGTATGTTGAACTACTTCAATCTTTTATACGTGGCCGACTTTTGGACACGGGGTTTTGAAACCTCTTAGCACAACATAGTATATGCACCATTAAGAGTCATTAATAGCTGTTGACTTGATTTTGAATTAAAAACAAATGAATTGGGGCTTGGCAGAGCAGAAAGAGAGCCTATGAGAAGGGAGAAGGAGGTGTGTCACTTAGAGGAGGGCTGGGGCGAAGGAGGAGGGCTGCTCTACATTCTGGCAGTGACCACATTGTTCACTTAACCATGGGGGTTGTTCAGTCACTGTCAGCTTGGCAGGGTCCTTATTTAAGTATTGAAGCCACACCCTTCTTTTAAAAAGTATTCTCCAAATGGTTTGTTTTCTTTCCACATGTCCCCACTGCATTGGCTAATTTACAAGGACATTAGGGAGTCCAAGGCTGGGCATCTAGAAGCCACTGGTCTCTTCAGACCAGTTGGCAGTGCCTGTGAGTCTAGAAAACCCGTGTGCAAGTTATTTGAAGAGAAGGCACGAGGCCGTTCTCTCTCCCGTTTCCTCCACTGACACGCTGGGATTTGGGCTCTTTTTGGTTCAGAGCCAAAGGAATTGGAAGCAGAACCGAATTTTGTACCACTTGTTTTTCTCATGGTTCCCCAAAACCAAGAAGCTAAGCACCCCGGAGATGTTCCTCTCAACTGGAGTCCAAGTAGTTCTTGAGTGGTGGCCAAAGCTCTGGAGCCTTCCTGAAATGAATATGGGTTTTTTTTTGTTGTTTGTATTTGCTGCACTGCATCTGTGTTTGTGCACAAAGCTAATTGGGTGTTGGTTGTAGCAACTTCCTTTAACGGCCCGTGAACACTGGGAATTGGGTTGGTAGTTATTTAACTTCCCTTTCATTAGCACTCGCTGCACAGATAAAGTTCTGTTAGTCTGTGTAACTGGTCTCTCACCCTCATTTTAAAGCCAAGTTGCCTTGCTATGTATATATTTGCAATATCAAGCGTTGGGTGCCCCCAGCTTTTAAACAAATAACTTTCAAGTAGAAGATGTGGGCTACCATGGGGTTCTGCAAATTCAATTTAGTAAATACTTCCAGATGCCCTCTGCTCTTTGTAAAGTGTGGTACTGGGTGTTGTGGGTGACACAAAGATGATTAAGATGTGCTTTCCCTGTCCGGGGTCTCACAATCCATGGCAGAAATAGCCAGTGGAACATGAGTAACTTAGTAACAGTAGATTACAATTCGTGCTTTAGAAGAGTTGCAAGTGAAGGGCACCGAGAGACGGGACAGGGAGGTTAATTGTGGAGCAGAGGACTGCGGGACCGGGAACCCTTAAGACCATAGCAAGCCCTGGCGTTGGAGCAGAGCCCTACATGCACGGTCTTTTGCAAACTGCTCTTCTCCACGTGCTGTTACTTCTACACCGTTAGGCGTTTCCTACAGTGTTACCTGTAGTAGCTGTGGAATATTGCAATATATGATTGTGCCACAATTTATTTAACCACCACATTTACAAATTATTGATTGGTTGGAGCCAGCTGCTGTGTTAGAAATAAATTAATCCAACAAGGTCCTGCCCTTCGGAGTAACAGGCTAGCAGAAAATGAAGGCTTTGACCAAATCGGTACAGATACCTTGAGTGTTAATGAAGTGTGATGTGGGGATTTGTAACAGGGGAATTAGCCCCTGTGTAGGGAGGGAGAGTCACAGGAACTTACCAGGTCTTGGTTCTCAGGCTTCATGGAGCACCGACTCCCCTGGAGAGCTTGTTAAGACTCAGACTGCCAGCCCCACCCTCAGACTTTCTGCTTTGTTAGGGAGGGAGAGAGGGGGCAAGGTCTTCATTTCTAACAAGTCCCCAGGTGCTGCTGCTGCTGGTCCAGGGATTACACCTGGAGGAACCATGCTGACGTAAGGTGTGTCCACCTCTCCAGTCTGATACACAACTGGTGATGAATACCTTTCTAGGTCGTGAATATCTTATAAGCATCCCTCATCATCATGGAGAAATAGCCGTAATGGTTGAGAACAGAAGTTCTAGAACTAGACTCAATGTGTCTAACTCTGGCTCTACCACATAACCTCTCTGCGACTCAGTTTCCTCATCTGTAAAAAAGGCCAATTGTGAGAATAACATGAACTAACATAGAAAGCACTTAGAACACTTCCCGACACAGAATATTCAGTGCAGGTGTTTGTTATGGTTATTCTTGTTGTTTCCTTAAATTCCCTGAGCAGAATTCTAATGTCAAGAATAGGCAGAAATGTAGGATTTTTGAAATAGACCACCAGGCTCATCATCAGTTTTAAAATTTAATAATCTAGAACAGTGATTCTCAAAATGTGGTTCCTGGGGCCAGCAGCAGCAGTCGTAGCACCTGGGACTTGCTGGAAATGCAGATTCTCAGGCCCCGCCCCAGCCCTACTGAGGCAAACCTCTAGGGGCTTCTGCTCTCGGATGCAGCAGTCGCCCTGTCCTTGTAACGTGTAGGCATGCGTTTCCTGTTAATGTCGTTCAGGCGGGTCAAAGGGGGAAGATTCGAGTCCTGGAGCACTGTGGGCGGGTTAGCTGCTGCGCTAAGTGTGAGCACAGTCTGGGCCTGTCCTGGGGCAACAGAGTTCCAGGGAGGGGTCTCCCAGAAATGGTGAAGACAAGGAAAGTGCGTGGGAAATCTTTGATTTCTGCTAGCTTGGCAAAAGCAAATCAAACCTCCTTAAACCTCCATGCATCCTTTTCATGCAGGATTGGTGCATTAAGGAGACAGGGTTTGGTCAGTGTCTTTTGTTAACACATTCATTTGATGGCTGGAACCCATGTCATCAGGCAAGGCTGATCCGGTAAATGGGGGTGGGGGAGGGTGCCTCCGTGAATTCCCTCGGTCAACTGGCCGCCTCTGTCATCGAGGCACAGTCACTAGAGGGGAAAGCAAGAGGCAGGAGCGAAAGCCACTAACGGCCCCCTTTACTTAACGGCTGGTTTCAGGCTATGTCAGTTTGCTCAGGCTGCCATAACAAAGTACCACAGACTGGCTGGCTTAAACGACAGAAATTTATTTTTTCACAGTCTGGATGTAGAAGCCCAAGGTCAAGGCCCCTCTCCTTGGCTTGCAGATGGCCGCCTTCATCCCGTGTCCTTGCATGTCTCCCCTCCGTGCCATGTCAGGGACATGCACCCCTGGGGTCCCTTTGTGTGTCCAAATTTCCTCTTTTTATAAGGACACACCACTCAGATTGGATTAGGGCCCAACCAAATGGCCTTCTTGTAGCTTAATCACCTCGTTAAAGGCTCTATCTCCAAATACAGTCACATTAGGAGATGCTGGAATTAGGACTTCAACATGTGAATTTTGGGGCACATGAATCAGCCCATTACAGGCCAATCTGTGGCGGAGAGAGAGAATAGCAAGCAGACTGGAAACCCAGAGAGGGCTAGGAATTCAGGTAGTTTGGGCTGATGGCAAAACCTCCCCCAAAGACAATGACCATGTCTGCTACCCTGACCAAAGGGAGATTGTGGCTAATGAACTGATGTTTGGACTGAAAAGTAACCAAGCACTTAAAGAACCCCTCAAGGCTTAGTGTGACTGCTGCCAAGTCCCCAGCCAATGTCCTCCAAGGATCACACAGAGCTCTGTAGCTTGTCAAGGGCCGGGCCTGGTGGGTGACGGCACAGCCGCTGCACTCAGCCCCCTGGGCCCGAGTCTCCTCTCCACACCTGATCAGCGCCATGACTCTTCTGAGCCTCAGCCTCGGCACTAGCAGAACTGGCATGCAAGAGCACCGAGTCCTACAGCTGCTGGCAAGACCGAATTGGATGATCCATGTAGTGGGATTAGCGTGGTAGCTAGCACACTGTAAACGCTCAATAAAAAGCTATTTTTAAAAATTGCTGTTCTTGGGAGACAAAACCAGAAGAGGAAGAGGAGACCAGACCGGATGAGGAGGAGAAGACAAAACCGGAAGAGGAAGAGGAGACCAGACCAGATGAGGAGGAGGAGACAAAACCGGAAGAGGAAGAGGAGACGAGACCGCAAGACGAAGAGGAGACCACGCCGGTTGAAGAGGAGGAGACAAGACCGGAAGAGGAAGAGAAGACCAGACCAAAAGAGGAGGAGGAGACTAGACTGGAAGAGGAGGCGACACAAAAACCAGAAGAGGAAGGGACCAGACCGGATGAGGAGGAGGAGACAAAACTGGAAGAGGAAGAGGATACTAGACCGGTTGAAGAGGAGGAGACAAGACCGGAAGAGGAGGAGAAGACAAGACCGGAAGTGGAGGAGGAGACCGGACCAGATGAGGAGGAGGAGACAAGACCAGAAGAGGAAGAGAAGACCAGACCAGACCAGAAGAGGAGGAGGAGACAAGACCGGAAGAGGAAGAGAAGACCAGACCAGAAGAGGAGGTGGAGACAAAACCAGAAGAGGAAGCGGAGACGAGACCGGAAGAGGAAGAGAAGACCAGACCAGACCAGAAGAGGAGGAGGAGACCAGACTGGAAGAGGAGGTGGAGACAACGCCAGAAGAGGAAGAGTAGCCCAGACTGGAAATGGAGGAGACCAGACCAGATGAGAAAGAGGAGAGAATACTAGAAGAGGGATGGTAGGGGAAATAATGGCAGATTAGGGGTGACCTCCTGGCTCTCTGCTCCCAGAGTAGAAGGTGAAGAACGCGGACAACTATGCAGGAGTGAATCGCTCTCCCACAGGATCAGCTTCCTGTATCTGCAGAGAAGCAGTGAGGGACAAGCAGTGCTGGGGAAAAAGAAAGGCGAATGGGAGAATCAACCGCGAAGTCCGGAGAGTGCGAGATACACAATAGGGACTAGAGTGTGGGACGGCTGTGCTTGTGGGATGGCTGCGCTTGTGGGCCGGCTGGGGCAGTGCGATCTTACCCACAGGAGGAGGACTCTTTCTCCACCAACCTCCACACCTATGCAGGCAGGGAAGCGCCTGAAGTCAGTGCGAAGTGGTAGCACGGGCCAACACGCTGTGTGGAGTAGAGACAAGAGTGGGAAACATTTTGAACTCTCCTGTGCGCTATGCTAGGTCTGCTTTGGGCGGGGGAGGGACTGGTCCGAGTGGACACTTCCTGCTTCGGTACTTTCCGGTTCTGACACTTCCCGGTTCCACAGGAGAGAGCTTGGAGACAGGCTTCTCACTTCAGGAGGCTGCCAGGACCAGATCAAGGGAGGTGAACACCATAAAGGAGGTTAAATAAGAAACTAAAAACATACACAAAGTCAGACAATTATTTTCATGGAACAAATATAGATGGTCCCTGTCTTAGGATTTGACTTAACGATTTTTCGACTTTATGATCTTGTGAAAGCAATACACATTCAGTTGAAAGTGTACTTCAAATACCCATACAACCATTCTGCTTTTCACTCTCAGTATAGTGTTCAATAACTTACATGAGATAGTCAACATTTTACAATAAAATATGCAAAAAAAAAAATTGCTGTTCTTATCTTGCTGTTCTTAATCTTGCAAGATTAAACTTGACCCTCAACTGAAACCTATTATAGTTCATTCACTTGTCCATCTAGGCTTTTAAAAAAATCACTATTAAGGATATTTAATTATAAAAGCTATACATGTTCAATGTTTTAAAAAAATGTCCAGTGTACAAGAATATGAAGAAAATGTGAAAACTTCTATTTCAACATCTCCCTATTTGGCTTCAAATCCTGGCCCAGCCCTTTACTGGCTTGTTGACTTTAATTAAGCAAATTATTTGACCTCTCAGAGCCTCAGTTACCCCAACTGCAAGGTGGAGATAGTATAATCCCAATTTCCTGTGGCCGGGAAGACTAAATGAACTGATGCAACCTAGTGAGATGGGCAGGGAGCCCGGGGCTGGCACACGGTCTACGACACAGGCAGCAAGTGCTGGCAGGTGCCATGGTTGTTTTCATCAGCACCATCATGAACTTTTGTGCAGGGTGCAAAGGACAGCCCGGGCTGGATGGCAGGAGGGGCGAGGATGGAGTCCCTGGGTCTCCTGGGCCTCCGGGACGCAAAGGTGACACAGGAGAAGCTGGCTGCCCTGGACCACCAGGTAGAGTCTCTGTTTCTCCTCTTTTCTCTGACGCTGTAGATCGGAGAACTGTACACAAAATCTCCGACCTCTAAAGAAGCTTCCAAACTGGGTCCTATTAAAAGCATTTGCCTTAGATACCAACTCCCCAGGTATCAGAGGGACAGAAGCAATGAGAACAGAGTGGGATGCGTCTCCCATGCTCTAACTGATGCTAATCCATCCTGAAACCTAGTCAAGGCCCCGTGTCCTATTCAGTATTTTCCCAAACTGCTAGACATCATCACATAAGGCTTGGCTGTTTCAGCTGTTCCCTTTTCGAGGTCATGACGGGTCTGCCAACCTGGCTTGCCGTGTGATCACTGTTGAAAGGCTGTGCCAAAGACCATGAGGATGGTGGGTGTATTCTCAAGTTCTACAACCGGCTGATGCGCGTGGCCTCTGGTTCTCTGAGTTCACTTCATCGTATCCAGCCGGCAATACATCATATAGAATATGGGGCACTTTCTTAAGAAAAAATTCGGGTGCAGGCATTGGGTAAGGGGAGGTATGACTCTTCAGAATAGAAACTTGGAATAGAAAGCACCAGGTAGCACGGTAGGCACCAGGACTCAAGTACTCCAGGACACAGTCCCATCTCTGAGAGTGTCTGGCAAGGGGCGTGAACTCCAGACCTAGTGGAGTAAAAACGAGAGAGAGAGAGAGAGAGAGAGAGAGAGAGAGAGAGAGAGAGGGAGGGAGGCAGGCAGAGGGGGAGAGGGAAGGAGGAGAGGGGAGAGGGGAGAGGAGGCCGGGAGTGGGGGGCGGGGGGCGTCTTTGTCTAATGGAGCTTTGTCTAAAAGCTGCAGCTCAGCTCCAGGCAACTGTTGCTTGTAGGTATGCGGGCCCAACGTTCCCTGCACTCGGCTTTGTTCAAGTTCAAAACTTCAACTTGTAAAATCTTTACAGGTCAAACAAAACACATGAGCAGGCCTGACTCAGTCCACAAGCTACCACTTTGTAATCTCTGGTTAACAGTGTAGATGGGGAGAGGCTGTTAGGCTTGCAGAAACAAGTTGAAAAAAACAAAAACAAACACCTTTTGGTTTTAACACATTAACTGCTGTGTGAATTGTATTTAAAAAATGAAAAATAACAAATTTTTCATTAAATTAGAATTGTTTTGTTTTCAAAGTTTTTATTCTATTTTTGTAATAAAACACCTTGGGCCCAAGGAAACAAAATTTTTTTATAGTGTGGCAGTCAATGTGTGAAAGTCATACTTCAGGCGGGGCTCGGTGGCTTGTACCTGTAATCCTAGCACTCTGGGAGCCCGAGGCAGGAGGATCACTTGGGGTCAGGAGTTTGAGACCAGCCTGAGCAAGAGCAAGACCCC